ATGAGTCCTGCCCTGGGCCACTGAGGGGTACAGGGACGCCATATGCAGCCCGGCCACCTGCTCACCAGGCAGCCTCAGGCGGCTGGGTGTCCTCAGCTGATAAGTGATGGCCTCCCCCCATGGCTGGGAGGACCAGTGACTTCCTGCATGGGGGGGAGGGGACCCCACCCTTCACTGGCCGAAGACCCAGGGGGTCCTCAGCTACTCCACGGAGGGTGGCACCGACACTCCTAGCGCTGACCTGACCCGCCCCACGCCGGCTCCGGTCCGGCCCGAGCTGGGCGACCATGAAAGAGAGTGAGTCCAGGCAGGAGCCGGGATCTCCCCACCAGCCCCTCGGGGGTGCCTGGCTGGCAGCTGCCGAGCCCTCGGGAACATTCTGTGCAGAGAGAAGCCAGGCCCAGGGTGGGAACGCTCTCTGCGAGGTGGGGGGCCTCGTGCGGGCCCCCCCGACTCTCCCATGGTGGGCTTCCCTTCCGGGCCTCCTGCCAGGGACAACGGGCAGCTGGCCGGGCAGCTGTGGCCATGGCGCTTCCTGCTCGTGCGGCCCTGGGCGGGGCCTGCAGTTCAGTTAAAATCGACCCTCAGCAGCGGCCGCGGGGGCTTCGCTCTAAGTGCCCTGTTTCCCGGGAGGAGGTTCAGGCAGAGTCAGGGGTGCCCTCAAGGTCGCCATCGCCTCCCCGCTGCCCCCTCCACCACCGACTGCCACGCCCCTGAGGGCAGGGCGTCTGAGGGAGTCCGCCGGGAGGATGCTGGGCAGGAGGTTCTCAATGGGCGTGTTTGTTGTCTGAAGTTTATGTGAACATCCAGACATGCGTGTCCATGGATCTGCACCCATGTGTGTGCACGTACGTGCCTGTGCCTGTGTGCGCACACACATTTGGGGCGTCTGTACATATATGTGTGTTTGTGCACACATGTGTCCGCATGTGCATGTATGCAAACACATGCATGTATACAAGTGCTTCTGCACACCTGCCCGAGCGCTTGTTTGTACACACATGTTCACGTGTGTGTGTGTGTGTGCGTGTGCTGTCCTCTTCTGTGCTAGTGATGGCAAAGCGCATGTTTGTACACGCATGTTCACGTGTGTGCGTGTGCGTGTGCTGTCCTCTTCTGTGCTAGTGATGGCAGGTGGGAGGCATGCTGCCCTGATGCTTTTCCCCGGGACCATGTCCTTCCTAACTGTCAGTCCTCTCATCTGTGAAATGGGCGACAGAGGGTGTGCCCTAGACCAGCTCCGGCCCAGGCAGCGAGGGGATGAGTCACACAGACATCACGTCGTGTAAAAGACTCAGGACACAAATGGGAGCATCCCCTGTGGTTTATGGACCGGAGGCTCTAGAGCAGCCTGCGGAGGAAGGGGGGCCTGCGTGATCTGGGGTGCTCGGTGCACACAGCTGCCTGACTCATCTGTCTCAACCCTGAAGGTCTCCATGTCCTACTGCATGTAAATCAGCCTCAGTAAAACAGAAGTGCCCCCAGGGCATTGGGGGCATTAAATGCGGGACAGCCTGGCAGGAGCCCTTGTTAACACTGACGGTGGAGGGGAGGGGACACTGTGCCCCTTGCGGGTGGGGCTGGGCCGGCCTCGGCTGCAGGGAGGGACGGGGAGAGCCCGTGCGCCTACGTGGAAAGGCTCCCTCGTGCCCTGGAGGTGAAAGAGCAGCTGCAGGACAGAATACTATGCACTTTGCTTTAAAACGACACAGAGAAAAAATCGCACGCCTGTTTCCTCCTGTGAGATTCGTCTCTGGTTGGATGTAAGGACCTGGGGACAGGGAGGCGGGAGACGGGCTCGCAGCCCTTCTTGCTCTTGGAATTCTGAGCCCCACGAAGGTATGACCCAGTTTAGAGGGACATGTGTTTAAGGATGGCCCCTAAGGAGTTTGTAGACGAGCCGTGGAGATGGCCGAGCCAGGATGCTCGTCCAGAGGGACCCGGTGGTGCCCACGCCCACGCCACCCCGGGCTTCGCGCCAGCTCTCAGGACAGCCCAGGAGCCGTCCTGCCCTCCTGGGTCTCTCCTGCCTCGTCCCTCCCAAGGGGACGGGCGCCCACCTGCCCCAAGGTGCACTCCATGCCCCCCAGGAAGTCGTCGTCCTGACAGCTGAGGCTGCCGGGCCCGTGGCTGTCGTAGACCTCGAACCGCAGCTTCTGTGCCTCCTCGAAGTAGTAGTCGAGTGTGAAGACCTTGGAGAACGTGGGGTGCAGGCAGCTCCGGACCACCTCCGTCCTGTCCACCTGCAGCAGCGGGAGCGGCCCTCGGGGGCTTCCACCAGGCCCTGCCCCCGGCCCAGCCCCGGG